AGGATAAAAATTGTATGACTGTCTTATCGTTTGGCATTTTGCTGTACATATTGCTTTGTGACTCTCCTGTAAATGACAATTTACTCTTTTTTCCACATTAAAAAGAAGGAGAAAAGGAGAAGGGTTGCCACTGAGGACTGGTGCACTGGTAATGTTGTGTTCTTAACTCGTGTTGATTATAAACATGATCACAGGACAAAAAAAAATCTCTTATATGCACACATATGTGTATTTCTTGGTATATGTACCCGATACATTTTTTAAAGACCCCAGACAACAGTTACAGAACCCAAATGACACACATTTCAAATAGTAACAGTTTTTAAATATCTTCAATAAGCTTGAAAATCTAAGCAAAACATTCCAGTGGACTGCTCAAACTGGCAATTAAACCACTTACACAATAATAAAGCAAAAACAGACTTAGATCATCTAAACTAGCTAAGATCTTGTGTGAGGTCCAAGGGCAAGGCTTGGGAGGCCCTTCTTCCTGGACCACCATCTCATTCTTCAATGTTTGCACATATATGGTTTGTCACGAAACTTCTCTTTTCTCAGTCACCCAACAGCGCCTTCAAGTGGGCATCACAGGAATTGCCCAGCCACTTCCTATTTAGAGATTACCAATGGGGAAGGTCTTCCACAGGTCCCTCCCAGACCAGGAGGGGTCAGGAAACCTTTAAGAATTCAAGACACTTCCAGAAACTTTGGTCAGTCTCTCCTTTCAGGAGACACCTCACCTCCCGGATCTCTCCTGGAATGTGCTTTCCCCCTTCCTTCTTCCTTTCACATTCATTTGTTCACTTCTCAAATAAAACTTCTCTATCTACAAAAGATCCTCAGCTTCTTTTATTTCTTTTTCTAGACTAAGCTGAGGAAAGAATCCACTGAGCTTCACTAGAAACAAAGAATATCCTCGATTAAGAAGTAAATCTGACAATTACAACTTTCTATCCATAGCAACGAACAGACAGGAAAAAATGCATTTCAAAACAAACTGTCACGAATGGGGGAGTGGTAATTCAAAATGACCGTAGAGCAGAATTATCCAGGGAAAATATTACAGCACTGTAACCCCTTACCCTGGATGTTAGGTCTACTTAAAATGTAAAATCAGAATCCTTCACAGATATATGAACTTAGGAAATCGGTCATCACTTTCTAAAGAAGTCAGTGGTGATAACCTTGGAACTCAAGGGCATTTGAGTTCTCCAGACTCACAGGCCCAGCTTTTGACCTCAAAGAACAAGGGCCACCTGACATTTACAAAATGCAACCAAGAGAGATAAATTCTTTGGAGTCTAAAAGGGTGGGGGGAGACCATAGTTCCCTTCAGAAAAACCAAGGCTGCTGATCCTTAAAGGCTTTCTATGACAAAGTTCCAAGCATCCCTAGGGCATCCTGACCCCTATTACCAGAGAACTGAATGAGAACTGCTTATTTCTCAAATTCCAAGATGAGAACCCACAAACCTATTGAGGACTAGGGATGGGTGATATGTTGATGATTGGATAAACCACATCGCAGCAGGGAACACTAAATGAGATCCCAAATAAATGCTACTTGGTAGTCTAACAGCAAGGCTGAGATTCAGAAAGAAGGGACTACATTTGCAAGTTACTGTAAAATAGGGTCTAGTTGACCTGACCTGGCAAATGACACAGAGTTCAATCAATAGTACATGATATACAACAAAGCTTATTAGCTACAATACTGCAAAGATTAAAACCCCTTTTCCAAAAGTCAGTTTTAAAGACTGTTTTCCAAGCAAGATATTTAATTCTTCTTTTTTAAAAAGGTTTATCTCTTTTTATCAGAAAGGCAAATATACAGAGAGGAGGAAAGGCAGAGAGGAAGATCTTTCATTCGATGATTCACTCCCCATGCAGCCGCACCGGCTGGAGCTGTGCCAATCTGAAGCCAGGAGTCAGGAGCTTCTTCCATGTCTCCCATGTAGGTGCAGGGTTCCAATGCTTTGGGCCATCCTCGACTGCATTCCCAGGACAGAGGCAGGGAGCTAGATAGGAAGAGGGGCTGCCGGGATTAGAACCGGTGCCCACATGGGATCCTGGCGCATTCAAGGTGTGGACTTTAACCACTACGCTATCACAGCAGGCCCAACACATTTAACTATTGAATATCATTTGCACACATATGCACAGGTACAGGTATCCGTAACACCTATACTGCCATCAAATACAATACTTCTAAGTAATCCCTATACGGGTTGAGCATCTCTAATCCAAAACCCCAAATCTGGAATGCTTCAAAATCCAACCATTTTGAGCACCCACATGACAAAAGTGGAAAATTCCACACTTGACCTAACGTGACAGGCCACAGTCGGAAACCCAGGTGCACTAAATTGTATAAAATGATCTTCTGATCATCTGCAGAAGCTGTACATGAAACATAATTAATTTTGTGTTCAGATATCTGTCCCTTCTCCAAGGTATCTCTTGATGTATAAGCTAATATTCCCAAGCCTAGAAAAATGAATTCTAAACACTTTTGATCTTAAGCATGTCCAACCCACACTAGCACATAAGCCACACTGAAGAAGGCGCAGCAGAATGGCTGCGAACACGGGATTAACACAGCCTTGCTGCCTTGTGCTTGGAGAACGTGAATGGAAGATAACGATGACAGGGTCATTCACTCACCAACCTCCTTTACAAATTCATGACACCAACTTTTTTGCAACAGAGAAACTGAAGACCACTACAAAAGGACTCACAATGGATTTTGCTGGATGGCCACAGACTGAGATATTATCCAAACTATATACAATTGTTTTAGATACATATCTCCTGTGGCGGAAAAAATTGTGTGTGTGTGTGTGTGTGTGTGTATTCAACATCTTGGAAGCCAACATACAGTTCTTGCCATAAATGTCCTGATGGCACTTCTTACATTAATCTATGGAAATTAAAACCAATTTCCCTTTGGAAGCCAGGAAAGTAAGCTACTTACCTGGACTACTGAAGCTAGAACAAGTTCCCACTTTTGAAATGCAGGTTTAACATCCGCAAAACTGTTTTCTGCACCTTATGAACGTCAGGAGTATGTTTTTGCTCCCCCTATTGGCTAATAGTCAAAATAACAATGAATTCCCGAGGGATTGTCTTTGAAGTCCCTGAGGCTCAAAAGCAAGGTGGTGATCTTTTAAAACAAGAGCTGAGTCAACAGCCGGGAGGCAAGTCACCCTCTAATGGACAGATTCCATCATAACAGGAAAAATTAAGGCCGACAATGAAAAACTAAAGGGCCAAAATAACAAATTCACTGAAGCCTTGAAACACCAAACAATGCAGAATTAAAGCCAAACTGGAGAACACCAAAAAACACAGCAACATCCTCTAACTGACACAATAGCACCAAATCAATTTCATTTTAATAGCTCTTAAGGGGGTACGGATTATTTCCCGGCCTCCCGTGCCAACTTCAAGCTGTTTCCTAGGGAAGCCAAGCAATGGTGATCAACAATGTCTGGGCAATTACTGAAAGAAATTAAGACTGAAGCGCCACGTTAATTAATATGAGTCAGAGTTCTATTTATAATTATCTGGAGCCAATTTCAAAGAAGCTGTAGTTGGCACCCCCATGTCTATACAACCTCCTAAACTCACTGCAGATAGCTCACACGCATTTCAAAGGTTCAGTACTTACAAGAAAAGCTTCCCGCAGCCAGACAACGCAGACTCACAAAAGCCAGTGCCACTTGCTGGTCTCCGGCTAGTGAGGGACCTAGCACAGAGTCAGAACTATCAAAAAGTTCCATACAATCCCAAGCAAAGCAACTTAACCTCCAGTGTCTATAAAATGGGGCGATGCAGAGTGTTTCTCAACATACAGCTGATGTGAGCATCCACCAAGACCCCGACCCTAAGAGTGGCGGGCCGGCGGAGTTTAATCCGTTGCCCTTTCCACCCCACAGGAGCAGTGGGTTCACCCCTGGCACTGTTTGCAGGCTGCAGCTCCCCTAACTCCGGGCTAACGGGGCTTGACACGTGCTTTCGCTACTTGGGAAGACTTCTTTCTTCCCAAGCCTCTCACTTTTTCGAAGAGGGGCGCAATTCAGAACACGCTTGGTCCCCCTCGCAGCTGTCACCCCCAAGAGCCCAGGGGTCCCTGCGCTCAGCTGCTGGTCCGCAGCCAGGGACTCCAGCAGCAGCGGGATACTCCAGTATCCCAGTCCTTGCTCCTGCACCTGAGCTGGGGGCAGTAACCTGCGGAGCCGGTGCTCCGCCTCCCACTACTTCACTAGCTCGGGTGAAAGAGCGAATTTCTACCCCAGGCCCTCCGCGCGGACGTCACGTTCGTTAGCTTCCACCCCAAGGTCATGATGAACCCAGGCTTGACACGCCGCCTCTTTTCTTTCCGGGATTCTGGAAAGTGGGACAGATGCCCTAATAAGCCCAAGTGTGCACGCAGGTCCTCCTAAGCCATAGTCCGGGACTTCCGAGTGTGTGCCAACCAGATTAATACACTCCAGGAGCCTTCAAACGCGGTAGGGACGCGCGGCTAGGACTGACAGCGGGGCGCCGGGCTGGCTGCACAGCACCCCGAGGGTGCGGCCGCGGGTTCCTAGGGGAGGCAGGGGCGCAGGCGGAGCGCACACCCACCACAAACCTGGCCCAGCGACCTGTCACGCACCCGGGACGGGGCTAGGGGAGAGCGGCCGGCACCCTCCGCACAGCAAGGAAGGTCTCGCGGAGCCCAGAGTGCAGGAGGGTGCGGAGACGACCTCTCCCGCGCCGTCCCACCTCACCCCGCAGCGCGCCGCTGCGCCCCGAGCGCTGCCCAGCCCTGAGGGGGCCGCTTCCCCGCACCGCCGGCCCCTCGAGTCCCCGCCCGGCCCCCGCCGCCCTCTCCGGGCCGCACAGCAGGCGCACCGACAACCCGCGCAACGCGCCGGGCCCCGGGCAGGCTGCACAAGTCCGCACGGCCCCGGGGGCGACGACTGCCGGTCAGCCGGCGCGGGGCCGACCCGCACGTACCTCGCAGGCGGCGCGCCCCGCGGACCTCAGCCGCGGCAAGTTGCAGGGACGCGGAGCCAAAGTTTCCCCCGCCCAGCGCTCGGCGGCCGAGAGCTCCAGCAGCTGCTGCGCCGCGGCGCAACTACGCCATCCGGAGCCGCCGGGCGCCTTCACCTCCTGCCGGGAGCTCCGGGAACCGCGCGGGGTGGGCGGCCAGGTGGCGGGGTCCGCGCGGGCTCAGTCCCCCTCGCTCACCGACTGCCGAGAGGACAGTGCGGCTCGGCGTCCCCGCAAGCTGCGAGTACCCCCATCGGGCCGAGCCCGGCGCGCCCGCTCTCCCTCCCGCGCGGGCGGGGACGGGCCGAGCGCCACAGCAATCAGCGCGCGGGGGGAAGGGGCTCCGGCCGCCCTAAGCCCCGCCCCACCCCCGCCTCCTCTCTCCGCCCCCTCGGCTCCGGGGCTGATGGATGAGCCCCGCGCTGCCCTGGCCAACCCTTCCCTGCGGGCCCAGGAGGCTGCGAGCCGAAAACAGACAGGGAGAGCCTGAACACTGCCGGCCGGGACCAGGGCCGGGCTCAGCGCGCACGGATCCGGGGGGCACGCGAGGACCCCTGTCCACAGGAAGGAATAGAGGGGAAGGGAAGGCGATGGGGGATTAGAGGGTACCCAACAGAGCTGTCTAGAGGAGCTGGGGCGTTATTTGGCTAGATAGAAAAAAAATGTAGAGCCTCAAGTAAAGTGATGGTGCCAGCTTGTCCACTCCGCAGCTCAGTCTCCCTCGCACACCTTCATTCTATGCACACATTCATTTTTGTTTTGTCTCCCAGAGATGCTGGGGTGCCTAGGGTGCATCCTGGATCCTGAAGAAATGAGTACCAATCCTGGAGCCCGGTGCGCCTGGGGTGGGCACAGCATGCTGCGTGCCCAAGTCTATGCACAGCCCTAAGCTTGGCAGCGAACTCCCCCTTTGCAACTCCCGTTGACACCCTTATCTCTAAGTAAACGGTATACTTAATTAACGGGACACTGAGACACACAGCCGTCAAAATGACCACGGGCCACACAAGGGTTTCAGAGACCGGACTCTGCTTGCTGTTAGACTAAGGGAGCCTGCTCCGACAGCTTCAGCTCCAGGCTCAGTTTGTAACCCACTGCCCCGACCCCCAAGCCCTCCCACTCCCTGTGAAATGAAGAGCTTGGCCTCTGACACCTCCTCCAGTTCCAAAAACCCTTGGTACAAGGCCATGGTGCAGAGCAGGGTGGAGAGGGATCCCTGAGGAAGACTTCCAATGCTGTTTGGAAAAGTACTGGTCTTCCCCTGTGGATTTTATTTGTTTGTTGTTGTTGTTGTTTATTTTATTTTTATTGGAAAGGCAGATTTACAGAGAGAAGGGGGGTCAGAAAGATCTTCATCCACTGTTTTGCTTCCCAGCTGGTAAAACAGAGTTGAACCGATCTGAAGCCAGGAGCCAGGAGTTTCTCCCAGGTCTCCTTGGGTTACAGGGTCCCAAGGCTTTGGGCTGTCCTTGACTGCTTTCCCAAGCCATAAGTAGGGAGCTGATTGGGAAGTAGAGCAGCTGGGTCACAAACCGGTACCCATATGGGATCCCAGTGCATACAAAGTGAATATTTAGCCATTGAGCTATTTCTCGGGGGCAAGCCTTCCCCTTTTCTAGGGTGCACAGGACAAACTTAACCTGTTGCTCTTGTACCTGTCCAAACAAAAGCCACCCAAAGGACAGCTTTATCTGAAAAGGTGGAATGTTGTTGGTGACCTAAATCACTGCAAAACCCTCCTGGGTGACTGACTCATCCATTCCTTGCAGGCTGACTGTGCCCCTGGTATGGGAGAGACCTGAGCCTGCACTCAGAGTCCCCACAGGCACAACACCCTGCAGCTAGAGTCTGGTGGCAAGCCTCTGCCATGGCCTATTTAGTCTCTGCATTTGGAACCTTAGCTTCTTGACTGGACTCCAGAAACACAGCATCTGGCCTCAAGAGAAATCGGGTCTCCATTTCAAGTACAGTTGTGAACATGGATATTGTTCAGTCATGCATTAAACTGTACCATTCATTTCCCAAATAAGAGGGTGTCAAAGGAAAAAAAAAAAAGGCTCCTGAAGAACAGAGAGGTGTGCTGTCTTGAAAGCCTGGTGGCATAACTCCCCCAAAGCAAATTCACAGGAGTAGCCATCATCATGCATTGCTCAGGGCCAGGCCCAGTTCTGAACATTGTCCACAGGTAAGCAGGTTCACGTCTCACTGCTCTGTAAGGCTACGTGCAAACTGAGGCCTGTGTACATGCCTGTTTCCAACTGAACCCTCACAGCTAGCCAAAACAGTGCAACCCACAGGTGAGGGGTGGTGGGATTCCACCAGCCAGGCTGGAACCCTAGTGCTCAGTCACCAGGCTCTACCGCACATCACCAAAAAACTTTCCATATCGGCAAAATTAAAGGGCTGCTTTGATTTGTTTATAGTAGGAGTACTTCATTCCCATAAATGATAAGGTAAACAAGGAACCTGTAACGGTATTTGCAAAACTAGCAATGTCTATACAAGTTTCTTCCCTGTAAGTCTTTACACCACCACATCATGCTACCAGCAGAAAGCCAGAGAGCAGCAACCAAGAGCAAAGGCTTCAATGGACAGAATTTTTGATTCCTGGGGAAAGTTCTAGAAAGGTATCTTCCTTACCTTTTTTGAATGGCAAGACCAGTTGATCTAGGACATGATGCTCCCCTTCCCTTGGTCTCTAGGACTGCACTAGTGTTAAGTGCTCATTAACATAAGGTGCCAGCTCCCTTCTGGTTCAAGATGATGCCTTATCATTTGTTCAGAACCTTTTTAAAGCCAGTTGTGAGCAGGCCAGGGCAGGCGAGTGGCAGTGAAATGAAGTACACTTTAACCCACTTACTAACAAATGTTTGACCACAGAGAGCCTCAGAGATTCACCGAAGCTCTGTGTCTCCCAAGGCCTGCTCCTGTAAGTGTGGACCCACTCGTTCACAGCATTGCATGCGCCTTCTCTAGATGCTGTTGATTCAACAGACTGAACAAACGCATGACAATCTGCTGATGTCATTAGTGCCAAAGGCTGGCGCTGCTTCTTAGAGAGGCAAACACCTCCCTCTATTTTCTTTTTCTTTTTCAAATTTAATTTTTCTTTATAACTAACACATAGTAATTTGTATGCATATACAAATGTATAACATTTGTACAGTATGATATTTATTTTAATGTTTATTTTCATCCACTTGAAAAACAGAACAACAGAGCACCAAGGAGGGGGAGATAGAGATCTTCTGACTGCTGATTCCTTCCCCAAATGCCTGCAGCAGTTAGGCCTGGCCAGGCTGAAGCTCTGTGCGTAAGCACTTGAGCTATGATCTGCTGCCTTCCCAGGTATCTCAGCAGGATGCTAACTAGGAAATAAAGCCACTAGGACTCTAACCAACATTCTGATATAGGAATACAAGTATCCCCAAGTGGTGGCTTAATCTACTACACCACAACACCCAGGCCCAGTGTGGTACACATGTACCCAGGGTACACTAATCAACTCAGGGCGATTAGCGTTTCTATCTCCTCATCATTGCTTTATGTTGGCACTTTTGGGCAGAGTCCAGGTAAGTGTTCAGAGGCACAGGTAAGTATACAGAGGCCAGGCTTCCTGCTGGGGATCCTGTCTCACTATCCACCGCTGCCAAGCAGTGGGCAAATCCTGGGCTTGCAGGTGTCCTGGCTTTGCCTGCTGACCACCCAATGGCAAGCTCTGAAGTCTTAGGGGTATGGAATTACTGCTCAGGGACATTCAGATAAGGCCATGGTATATGTAGGTGAGGAATGAATTCTGAGGGACACCCATTGACAAGGCCACTGTACTTGCAGGTAAGTGAGGGAACTGAGACCTGGTGTTTTGGAGGAGAGACTGGAAGATCTGGTCAGATTCATGCACCAATCCACATGGGAGTCCTGAGTTGGGCTCGTAAGCATGGAACATTACCGACCACAACATGCCAGTCCACATGACAGCTAGGGCTGGAGGTCTGTCCAGCAGGACTAGATCCCAGTATCTGACTGAATGTTAGAACAGGGGATGAGTCACATTAGGTAGGGCCATGACCCTCACCAGTATGCAGGAGAATCAGGTCCAGGGTTAGATTCTGTGGCGGCGGGGGGGGGGGGGGGGTATGTAGGCCAAACTCTGTGGAAATATGAGTCCCGCTGGTTATCTCAAGAGTTGGGGTGGTGATGAGATGAGCTAGCTGTGACTTTGGAACCTGCCAACACTCACGGGTGCAGGAACTGAGAATAGTCTGGGCAGGTTCAGACTGTAGCACCTGCATGTGCATCCTAAACAGGGTGTGAGGCAGGTCAGCTGCAACATTCATCAGCTCATACTAGGCTAAGATGAAAGGGCAGACTATGCCAGGCACTGATCTAACACCCACTGGCATGGGTAAAATCTGGGTCTGGGAGTGGGCCCAGTGAGGGAACTTAGAAAATTTCCCTAGTGGGTCATAGCTCCTGCTGGTAAGCACGTGGTCCAAGGCTGGGGGTCAGGCAAGCTGGGCAAGATAGCTCTATCCTTTGGTAAGTGTGGGTTGGTTTTGGAAGAGGACAGACCGGGCAGGGCCAAGTAAACCTTAGCTGACCAATAAGAGCAGAAACCAGGATGGAGTGTAGGTCATGCTGGGCTAGGCTGCCACACCTACTAGTTTGCATGAGCCAGAGATGGGAACAGACTGAGCAGGGCTGGGTTCCAGCACCCCAGCAGCGAGAGTTGGGACTGGGAGCAAGCCAGGTCAGGCCAGGCTACAGCACCTGAAGGCAAAGGCCAATACAGATGAGGGGCTACGCCAAGCTGGGTCAGAGTAACCACTGGCACTTGCGCAAGCTGTGGCTCGGAACAGACCTGGCTGGGGAGCTAAGGGGACGCCCTAGCTGGATTGTGGTTCCCACTGGTGAGTACAAGGGCTGGAGTGGGAGCTGCTGTCTGGTCTGGACAAGGCTGCAGTGTCCCTGGGCATAAGTGTAGACCGGGTCTGGGGTGCACCAGACTAGGCTAAAC